TGTAGTCCAAGTCTATGCCCCAACCACTGGTGCTGAAGAGGCTGAAGTTGACCGGTTCTAGGAAAGCCTACAACAATTTCTAGAATTAACACCAAAAAATGATGTCCTTATCATCATGGGGGATTGGAACGCTAAAGTAGGAAGCCAAAAGATAACCGGAATAACAGGCAAGTTTGGCCTTGGAGTACAAAATGAAGCAGGGTACAGGCTGGTAGAATTTTGTCAAGAGAAAAAGATGGTCATAGCAAACACACTTTTCCAACAACCCAAGAGACGACTCTATACATGGACATCACCAGACGGTCAACAAAGAAACCAGACTGACTATGTGCTCTGCAGCCAAAGATGGAGAAACTCTATACAGTCAGTAAAACTAGACCAGGAGCTGACTGGGGCTCAGATCATGAGCTTCTTGTTGCAAAATTTAGGCTTAAATTGAAGAAAGTCGGGAAAAGCACTAGGCCACTCAGGTATGACCTAAATCATATCCCTGTTGAATATACAGTAGAGGTGACAAATAGATTTAAGGAACTAGATCTGATAGACAGAGTGCCTGGAGAACTATGGACTGAGGTTCGCAACATTGTACAAGAGGTAGCAACTAAAGCCATCCCAAAGAAGAAATGCAAGAAAGCAAAATGGCTGTCTGAGGAAGCTTTACAAATAGCTGAGGAACGAAGGGAAGCGAAAGGCAAGGGAGAAAGATACACCCAATTGAATGCAGAATTCCAGAGAATAGCTAGAAGAGATAAGAATGTCTTCTTAAATGAACAGTGCAAAGAAATAGAACAATAGAATAGGAAGGACCAGAGATCTCTTCAAGAAAACTGGAGATATGAAGGGAACATTTCATGCAAAGATGGGCATGATAAAGGACCAAAATGGCAGGGACCTAACAGAGGCAGAAGAGATTAAGAAGAGGTGGCAAGATTACACAGAAGAACTACACAGGAAAGAGCTTAATGTCCCTGATAACCACAATGGGGTAGTGACTGACCTCGAGCCAGACATCCTGGAATGTGAAGTCAAATGGGCCTTAGGAAGTCTGAGCAACAACAAAGCTAGTGGAGGTGACAGTATTCCAGCTGAGCTATTCAAAATCTTAAAAGATGATGCAGTAAAAGTGCTACACTCAATATGCCAGCTAATTTGGAAAACTCAACAGTGGACACAGGATTGGAAAAGGTCAGTTTACATTCCCATCCCTAAGAAGGGCAATGCCAAAGAATGTTCAAAGGTCTAACGCACCATTGCACTCATTTCATATGCTAGCAAAGTTATGCTCAAAATCCCACAAGCTAGGCTCCAGCAGTATGTGGACCGAGAACTACCAGAAGTACAGGCAGGATTTCGAAGAGGAAGAGGAACTAGAAGATCAAATTGCCAACATACGCTAGATCATGGAGAAAGCTAGGGAGTTCCAGAAAAACATCTACTTCTGCTTCATTGACTATGCTAAAGTCTTTGATTGTGTGGATCACAACAAATTGTGGCAAGTTCTTAAAGAGATGGGAGTACCAGACTATCTTATTTGTCTCTTGAGAAACCCATATGCGGGTCAAGAAGCAACAGTGAGAACTGGACACGGAAACCCTGATTGGTTCAAAATTGAGAAGGGAGTTGGGCAAGGCTGTAAACTGTTGCCCTGCCTAACTTATATGCAGAGCACATCATGAGAAAGGCGGGGCTGGATGAATCACCAGTTGGAATTACTGGGTGAAATATCAACAACCTCAGATATGCAGATGATGCCTCTCTAACGGCAGAAAGTGAAGAGGAACTAAAGAGCCTCTTGATGCAGGTGAAGGAGGAGAGTGCAAAAGTTGGCTTAAAACTCAACATTAAGAAAACTATGATCATGGCATCCGGTCTTCTTACTTCCTGGCAAATAGATGGGGAAGAAATGGAGGTAGTGACAGATTTTTATTTTCCTGGGCTCCAAGATCACCGCAGATGGGGACTGCAGCCAAGATAGTAAAAGACGCTTGCTCCTGGGGAGGAAAGCTATGACAAATCTAGACAGCATACTAAAAAGCAGAGACATCACCCTGCCAACAAAAGTGCATATAGTCAAGGCTATGGTTTTCCCAGTTGCAATGTATGGCTGTGAAAGCTGGACCATAAGGAAGGTTGAGCACCAAAGGATTGAGGCCTTTGAATTGTGCTGCTGGTGGAGACTTCTGCGAATCCCTTGGACCGCAAGGCAATCAAACTGGTCAGTCCTAGAGGAAATCAACCCTGACTGCTCTTTAGAAGGTCAGATACTGAAGATGAAACTCAAATACTTTGGCCACCTAATGAGAAGGAAGGACTCCCTGGAGAAGAGCCTAATGCTGGGAACAATTGACGGCAAAAGAAGGAGGGGACGGCAGAGAATGAGGTGGCTGGATGGAGTCACTGAAGCAGTCGGAGTGAGCTTAAGTGGACTCCGGGGGATGGTGGAGGACAGGAAGTCCTGGAGGAGTGTTGTCCATAGGGTCGTGATGGGTCAGACATGACTTCGCAACTAACAACAACAACAACAAGGATTACCGTTATCAATGCTGCTGTTTTATTAACTTCAGGGCTTGCATTCAAATAGAGACAAATGCATGTGTAGATGTAAGAAAATATCACTTCAGACTTATTTTAAAGGTCCTTTAGACATTAATGGCAGAATTTCTTTTTAGTACTGGGCCATAATCAAGAATGACAGGACTGAATAGAAACATTTAGAGGCAGGGTGAAAGAGAGCTTGTCCCCAGTATACCTGGCACGACCATTTACAGCGCAATCGTCTACGTTTTTAATTAGAAATTTACTTAGACTTCCAGTCTAATAAAAGGGCACATGCAAGTTTGCACGTTTAGCGCATTAGGCTGCGAGACCATGTTTTAACTGGGAACTTCCCAGTTCACCTGCAATCCTATACATACCACCTTAAGCGCAATAGGGTTTCCTTTTAAGCAAGCATCACCTGCTTGTACTACACGTTCTCAACCCGACCTGCTGAAACAAGGCGGGCCCCCTTAATAGGGCAAATCCAACTCTAGCGACTTTTTGAAAAGATCGTTAAGAGGCGAGGGCCACGTTGTTCAAGGCAGCCGCGGTGCATCCTACACGCGCTCAGGCAGCACCGGCGAGGGCTTCATGCGTCAGCGGCAGCCTCTTCTTCCCAGCAAGGGCACCGGAGGCCGCCCGGCTCCGAGGAAGAGCCGGGTCCTTTCCTTGTTGCTGTCCCCGCCTTCGGCTCCTCCCTCCTGGGCCCCATTTCCTTTTCCACGCGCTGCCTCCAGCCACGAGGCCCGGCCCGGCCCGGCCCGGCCTTACACAATCCTCGCCACCCGCACCCCCGTCCTTTCCAACCCCAAATACCTTGCGCTTCTTGCCGTTGCCGGACTCCAGCGCGGTCTCGGACTCCATGGGGGTCTCCGGCTCACAGTCTTCGTCGCCTCGGTAGTCTGGCCGGGGGGCTGCGGGCATCTCTTGGGGCTCTTCGCCGCTGAGGTGGTGAGAAAAGCGGCTGCTGGCGGCCGAGGCCGGCGTGAAAGGGAATAACCCCGCCCTGGCGGCGCGCAGGAGGAAGTGAGGCGGCGCATGGCGCGGAGAGGCAGGTCCGCCGCGGGCCCCGCTCAGCCAACAGGGGGAGCGAGCGGAGAAGCGGGCGCAGGGCGGGAGGCGGCGGCAGCTCTCGAGAGGGCCGGCGAGCGCGGCCCGGGCGAGGAGGCCCAGCGCCGGCATCACGGCCCGCGGCCGCGCCAGGCCGCAGCGCCACCATCCCATGCTCCCCCGAGCAGCACCGGCACCGACTGGCGCCGCCCGCAGCGCAGCCCCGCCCCACGGCAGGCGCGGGCTGCGGCGCCCGCTTCTCCTTGGGCGGGCGGGCGCAAGGGAGGCGCAAAGCCGCGGACTTCGCTTGCCGTTAGCAGCGTGCAAAGGGTTGCCTTCTTACGGACGGGCTCTGGGTGAGCGTTGCGGGAAAAGCGGCCAGCCTTGTGGAACTTTAAAAACTGAACTGAATGTGGCCCGAGGCTTTCGGACTGGAGTCATACTATTTATCACGTGTATAGCCTGCTTTTCTCCTCGTGCAAAGAACTCATGGTGGCAGTTTATGCGATCTTCCTACTGTATCCTCAGAACCAATGTGCGCTAGAATAAATGCAAGAATTATAGTTGTGAACAGTGTCAACAATGTCGTGCACAATGTGTTAATCCCGAAGTTTGCATTTCTGCTCTTCGATTTGGGATAGCCATCCCTGATGTTGGGCTTCTAATTAACGTGTTCTCACACAAGTCCTCCCCATCCCAAACTATTTTCCACACCTGGCATTGGAATCTAAATAGGCTCCCAACTTTTGCCAGGTTGTAGTTTGCCATCTATACATGCAGTATAACTACTGCTGGGAAAACGGATTTTGGATTAGGGCACTAGTCAGTAATCCCAAATAAGTTTACCTGTAACTAAAATCCTACTAAAAATCCATAGAATTTGCATTTGATCATGGAAAATACTGATCTGAAATACGCACCTATTCAGCATATTCATAGCTGCTACAGTCCACCCTTTCAGTCCAGCTGATTCAGAAATAGGCATAGTAGTTTCTTCCAAAGTCTCTCAGTATTCTTACTTTCAGTGGATGCCAATTTTGTTAAGGGAAGCTGCAGGAACACTGCTTGTCTGGTGAAAAATTCAGAACAGAATGACAGGGAGGCAAAAATTGCCTCTGTCAGTCTTTATACCAAGCATTAAATGATCAGAAGCTAAACTCTTATGACTGAGGGTGCAAATCTACAGGATTGCAGCCCTTAGTCTATTTTTTGCAATACAATAATTACACAAACAAAATATTAGAAAATGATACAAACATTTATTACAAAAGTTTCATACATATGAGAATATAATTATCTTACCTACTTTCAGACATTTAATTGGTAAAGGAGCAATCCTATGGCCTCCAGACCCAGGATGCTTTAAATTTCCAAAATTCCAGGTCAGAGATAGTGGTCCAACCTTGGAACAGGGAATTTGTGATCCACCTGTACCTGGTGTGGAAAAAAGCACACCTGCTGCCTCTTTGAGGCTAGAAGCACAACCTGGAAAGGAGAAAAAAGGAGCATATTGCGGAGGCAAGGGGAGAGGTAAGCAAGATACAAGCAGCCTCTTTTTCTCCCCTTCCAAAATCCTTTCATTAGATGGGCAAAAATACAGAGGAGGAGGTCAGAAAGCTCAGGAGCCACACCTCCTGCCTTGCACAGGATGATCGGTTGAGGGCTTAGCATCATTGAGGGCACAACTCATACTATGGCAACTTAAGTTGTTTACAGTATATACATACATATATTAACATATTTACAATGGAATTATCAAAACTTGTTAAGAAGAAAAAAGTTAAACATTCATGACTGGAGTCAACTGAAGCAAGGAGTTTCGTGTAAGGTTCTTTCCGCTCTGCAAAGTCTTCTCTATGCCCTCCAAATTCATGAGAAAGCTTCTTCTTTTCTTCAATCCATCCATGATGGCAGAATTAGCAGAAGCCATACTTTGTGTTCTAGAACAATTATTTTATAAAACAAGATTCACTAAGAAGCCTATTGATCCATATTCAGCTATTCAGAATAACTGATTTCCCAAGAAAGTAAATCATGATATGTCCTTGTGATTCCCTTGTGTTTTCATTCTCTGTATTACGTTGTCTGACTTGAATCCTGCTTCTTGCCTCTCTGCCTCTTGCCTTGCTCTGGGCTGTTCCTGCTTCCATCCTTGTCTCTAGTCTGACCCTGATTCCCAGGTATCTGCACCCATCCTACCTGACCTTGCTTTGCGAGCTGTGACTGTCTTTCTGAAACTTGACCTCTGGTTTGTGATATCTTGGAATGTTTTTGCTTGGATTTGTCATCTCTCTGGCTTGGACGCTGGAGTGTTGAACAAAATGTCTCTTGCTTCTGGCCCTCTGAACCTGTTGCAGGACATCACCCTGCACCTGCACCCTGGTCCAGGTGTTTCAGCCTCAGATGCCTGCTGCCCATGGCCCAGAACTTACACTTTCCTTGCAGAGCTTTATACCTTATTTAGCTTCCAGAAAATATTTAAATATGTAGTCTATGTTTTCCAGAAAGAAGCACATAAACCCTTAACAGAACTGCATTCTTTTAAAATTAGCCAATACTTAGAGAATATGAATTATATCATCTTCCCAAAGATAATTGTCACTTGTCATAGTAGGGAAATATGTGTTGACAGGCCAAATTCTCATAATTCATGGATAGGTTTCTAATACCTTCAGTGAATTACAAAGGATTGCAAATGTGATTTCCAGTTCTTTTTCATACTAAACTTTCCATTACCATTCTCCCTGATCCAGAATGGTATATTGAAATCAACAAGTCTTGTATCTCTCCATTTCTCATTTCCTAAGGCTACCTTTGCTACTTCCTGGAATGGCTCCCTCCCATCCTTCCATCATGGTCAGGAAATCGTACACTCGCAGCAGGTTGCTGCAGCCTATACCTCACTTTCACACCTACTAGAGAGTTTGCTGAACTTCCACGTTCTAGGATCTCTTGTCTGGCCTTTTCTTGCCTTGACATAGAATCAAATGTTCTAGTCTCTGTGCTGTTCCTGAGCAACAAAATCAACTGTACAATAATAGCACTGATTATTCCTTCCACCTGCTATTCTGCAATAGAAGTATTTGCCCTCCAATACCTAAGCTTGTCTTAACAATTACTTTTTTAGGTTCTTTACAGTATTTGGACAATATTTCATAACAAAAACATATTTTTGTCCATGACCATGCTTTTACAAAACCAAGTTAGAATGATCCAGGCAAAGTTATCCAAGATTTCTGTTGGACTTGCCACTAATGCATTCAATGGGAACAAAAAGAGAAAAAGTAGTATTTCATTATAGGATTATGCCATAATGGAGCAATCTTGTGAGGTCCAAAGCCTGTAAGAACAGATAGGCTTTTCTGCCAACAGGCAGAAAGCTTTCTCTCAATACACATCCCTCGAAGGCTATATTTTGTAAAAAGTGTCAATGTGACAGTGTGCATCAGAAATATTACTCTAAGATTTCTGCTTACCTGGGGGAATCTATTCCACTATCGCCTGTTATGCTATGGCCTCCCGTTCCTTCCAAGTGATTTTGCTCTTGTTGGACCTTCTGATCCAGAACTGGAACATCATTTGTATCATCAAATGCCTGTTGCTTTTCCATTAGATCTGTCTTGATTTCCCAGTCTTTTGGTGACAGTGCCAAGGATGCTAATTTCCCACCTGCTTCATTTACTGAATTCTGCCAAATTCTGGTCTCTGTCTGACGCACATCACAGAAATCAAACACGTTGGTTTCAGCAGTATTGGATATCTGCCTATTATTATACAGATCCTCATTCCCTTCAATGTTTTTGTACGCATATTGAGGTATTGGATGACATACACAACTTTTTCCTCCAAGGTTTATCTTTGGATACTCCTTTAAACTATCCTGTGATTTAGTAACATCAAGTAATTTGTTTTCTTCAGGACTGCATATATCAACTTTTTCCATATCTGTTCTATGCCCTTGGAAGTAAGAATTAGAACTTCCATGTCCGAGTACTTCAGTACGAAATTCTTGTTTTATGTTACTCCACTCCCCTGTATCTGAAGAACTGAAAGGGAGTTGGCTGGATTTCAACTTGGACATCTCCATATGTTGTTCTTGATTATCAGCATCAAGATACAGAAAACTACAGGCATCAACATCATCCTCTTTCTGATACTGAGTCTCTTCATCATAAGTCAATCCATCATATTGTGGGTTAATGGACTGAAGCCATTTGCTAGCATTTTCAGAGTTCAGTTTGTTCCTTAAATCGTTACTTTGTCCTTGGGAAACAGTATTTTCAGACTGTTTAAACTGATGAGCAGCATTTGTGTCACTGAGAAGATAAACATTTTTAAGCTGATCTGAATTTTGACTCAGCAATTCATATATGCTATCTTGATCCCACTGGTGGGTTTCACTAGAATTCTGGGGAAAGCTTTTCTCTGCTCCTTCATCTGTGAGTACAGCATGAGCATCAGAAACTACCTGGATCTCCACCATACTTTTGGGGTTAGTTCCTCTGTGCAAATAATGTTTACAAGCTGCACTTTCTCTCAGGTATCTGTATTTGCCATCTGTTTCTAAAACCCAGTACTGAGGATAATCCACCTGCTGCTTTTTGTCATCCCCAGCATCACATTTGACAGGGAGTGATTGCTTAGCTTCAAAGTCCATAGATCTTGAGGAATCCAAAGACTGGGATCTTGGAAAATTTCTCTCTGATCTAGGAGCTCTGGACTTTGCATCACTGTTTTTCTGACTTTTATGTCCTCTTGTTAACTTATTCTTTCTATATGGAATATCTTGAAATGGATTATCAATTTCTTTTTTGTATATAAAGTGAGAAGTAATATCAGTTGCATCCTTGCACAATTGCTTATTGAAAGCTATAGCATCACTTGTAGCACAAGCCAATGGATTTTCAACAAGGTTTTCCAGTTTGCCTTGAGCTGGGATTAGTTTTTCAGTTTTAAATTTTCTGTGTGATTTACCCATTTGTTTTTCTTTGTTGGACTGCACTTTCCTCCGATGCTTTACCCCTTTATTTTCTTTTCGTTGGGAGCACCCTTTGGAAAAATGCTTGTGCTTTATCATTAGCACTTCTGTAGAAGTTCCTTTATTGATATATTTCTTCTGCTCCTCGATTTTCTGCATCAGCATGGTATGCTTACTTAAATTGTCCACAGTCAGCACAGGATTGATGCGCTTGATAATTTCATGTTCAACATCACGTGGAATGTTATCCAAATTATCTTCATCCCTTACTGGCCATTCTTCAGGAGGAAACTGGGCAGAAAATGAGGAGTGTACTTTTTTAGGTTTGTGTTTTTTGGTGTTGCGCCAGAAAAGGCTAAGACCAAATTTTTTAACCTTTTCCTTTTCCTTCATTGAATGTACAGAGCGAGCGGTTTCGCAAGAATGATTGCCAACAAGCATATCAGTGGCTGGAATATGAACCGAAAGTCTAGATTGACAAGAGTCTTTTTGACTTTTTCCATTAGGGTCATGACTGACTAACCGCTGAGGTCTTTGTTCATTCATTCCAATTTGATCAGAGAAACAGTGACAGGATCTACAATGGGATACAACAGGCAAATTATCTTGGATAAGTTCTGTAGCATCCTCCATGCTTACAAGGTATGTGACAGAAGGCTCCAGAGGGCAATTCTCTGCTAGAAGGACCTTTTTGTTGCTCTTCATAGAATTATTAGAAATAAAATAAGTATTTGGGGTCACTATGAAGTATCCTTCCCCGGTGTGGTATATCTTCCGTTCTTTAATTAGCATTCCAAGCGTGCTGTAGACAGTATCATGTGTAGGAGTTGCAATGCCTAGAATAATAAGGGCATAAATATATTATGATCCACTTGTGTAACACTCAGGGTGCAAAGCAATTTAAATCCTTATGTTCTTGCTCAGGACAAATTTGTGGGCTGAGCCAGTATTACAACATTGCCTTATACAGATTTGCTCAGACCTAAATCACAGTGTACATACAGCCCTAATCTCTTTATAAATGGGAGAATGGGGCTAAGAGATAATTAATTGTTCATAAGCGCTAGAATTCATGGCCACATGGAGATTACCTCTTCTGAATCATAAGATAAAGGTCTCTATCCCCTGAAATACCACCAGGAATATCTGTACTTTTAAACAGATTGCTAGAACAAATAGAGAATAAAATATGTACCCCCAAAATCTAAGATCTGAGGCACACAGACTCAGTTTTAAGAACATCCCACTGAAAAGGCAAACTTCATAAATGTAGTTAGGACACGTGGCCCCATCATTAGGCAGAGTGAGGTAACTCCTTTGATGATCAAATAAAAGGTAGCAAACTTGTACTTAACCTGTTGTTTTTCCATGGGGAATTAATTCAGATTTTCTGACTAGGGCACAATATTATCTTCAGTTGGCTGTGGGCATAATTTATTTAAATACAAGTGACTTGTGCAACTTGTACGTTATACTCTACAAATAACCAAATAAATAAGGCTTTTAAAGGACAAAAAAGCCACAATTCATTTTGTTGTTGTACACAAATCAATAAAGTAAAACTGGAGGAAAGTGCTCCTCGAAACCTTTGGGACAGAAAGCTTTTTGTTTAAATACTGGGTAGGTTCAGGCAGGATTTTAAACTCAGGGTGGCCTTCATGCCACAGGACACGGCAGGATCACTGAGTTAATGGCAGCTGCCCAGCAGCTGTCATCTGCTTCCCGTCTTATGCTCCTGCAGCCGAAGTGTGGGGTGGGAAATCCAGGGAGCAGCTCAGCCAGCTGCCCATCCACCATGCTGCTCGGCTGGACAGTGGGGAAGTATCTCCCTGCACCTTGGCAAGGGGGCAAGTGCCCCTCCAGGTCACTGCCATGCGCAGTGGCTCATCCCCGCCCTTACCTGCTTTAATACCCATATACAGATCTAAGCCCAGGGTCCTCCATACAGTAAGTCATGGGTGGGCAACTGGAGAGTCTGGGGGCCATTTAAAGTGCCATATATGGAATGTGCGTGGGGTTCAAAACAAAACTTAGAATTGTTTTGGTGGGGGTGTCCCTTAGTTTCATAGGGTGGTAGAGGCCACACCAGGGGTTGCAGGGGCCACATACAAACTGCCTGTTGCCCACCCCTGCATTCTGTGAATTCACTTCCCAAGTGTGGGTCCTTATGTAACTGCAAATGGATGGTGTCACGCATGCAGAGGAAAATGGTATCAGCAGGCCTGGAGGACTCCCAAGGTTTGCAGAAGTACTGAAACACTGTAAACACAATGCAGAATTCAATGTGACTGTTAAGTGGAAAAAGGGGGCTGGAATGGGTCTCTGGGGAAAGGGCATGGCTGGCTTGTTGGGACCCTTAACAGAAGAGCCGCACACCACAGCATTTTATTGCAGATCCCACTTGTATTCCATGGATATAGGCATGCGTCTTCCTTCCAATTAGACGGGCGTCTTCCTTTAATGCTTATGGCACAATGTTTTTTCACAGTTGGACAACAGAGGTCATCACATGCACATTAGAACCATGAAAAGGTTGCAATGAAAACAATGGTCATTTCCTTTTAGGATGCTTTCAGATGGGAAGTCATTTGGAGCATGAGACTTGATGACACACTGTACAGTTATTATCTCAGCTGCCCTTGTAAAAAGGTTGCCAAGCGTATCAGGTCACTGGAGTCCCAAATGTATTCCATGAAACGTCTACCTCCACTTAAAGTTGTAGGGAGCCAGTGCCCTTAGTGGGACAAAAGGGGCTTAGTATTCTTTAACAGTGCATCAAGAATGAGAAGTCTTAACCAGTGAATTTGCACTGTCTTTAACAATTTATTAATGAAAAATTTGGGGTGCTGCTCCTGGGCATGGGCTGGAGTGCAGGCTGAATTTGACACCCTTGTCTTACAACAACTCTATAAGGTAGTTTCACTTTACTATCCTTATATAATAGATGCAGGGGGAATGAAAACTATAACAACTTGTCCTAATCAATTTCTTAGGGAACCAAAGTTCAATTTGGATGCCAGGAAGTACGACAGTTAGGATCCCTAGGGTATGGAATGGCCTTCCACAGAAGGTGGCTGGAGCCCCATCGGGGAGGGTGTTTGCGGATAGGCTGGACATGCAAATGGTAGGCATGTCATGAGTGGAGCCAGCTGAAGTTGAGGGTCAGACTAGATGGCCTGGGAGACCCCTTCTGTCACTGTTCCCTTTCTATGTTTCTAAATTAAGTACAGAGACAAAACCTGAACCAGGGCCTTGGTGGCCAACAGCTGAGCCTCCGATCCATTACACTACATTAGCTGTACTAGATGTACATAAATAATGGGGAACAGTGACACAGATAGAACCAGGAAAGTGTAATCAAGGCAGTTTTTCCTTGTTCTAAATAGTATCTACATGTTCGTTTTCTTCAATGAATTAGAAATACAGATGTTCTCAGGATGGTCAAGCTCAGATTCTGCCCCAGTTCGGGAGGATCCATTCTATACAGAAATAACCAACAAAGTCAGGTTGCTTACCTGTGACTGTCGTTCTTCAAGTGGTCATCTGTGCAGTCACACGTAATGGGTACTGAGCCTGCACAGTGCCTGTTGTCGGTCAGAATACCCAAGCTACAACGGTTTTTGGCAGGAACTCTGCACCCCTCCCCGCTGGCACTATATAAGGTGGAGTGCCCGCCATTTTCCTCAGTCTCTGGAGACCAGCAGATCGCCCCCCTAGCGGAGTGTGCCATCTCGTAAAGGAGTCGATAGAAAGAGACTACCATCCCGTCCCTTGACACCAAGTGGGGCCGGAGGGCAGGTTGTGTGACTGCACAGATGACCACTCGAAGAACGACAGTTACAGGTAAGCAACCTGACTTTCTTCTTCGTGGTCTCCGTGCATCACACATAATGGGTGATTAGCAAGCTTCACTCACCGGAGGTGGGTTGGTGTCATCAGTGAAGTATGGATGAAAGGACGGCCCGTCCAAAGGAGCAATCTTGCCTGGCTCGGATGTCCAGCGTGTAGTGTCTGGTAAAGGTACAGGGAGTTGTCCAGGTAGCAGCTTTACAAATGTCCTGCAGTGGAATGCCCGATGAAAAGGCCGAAGAGGCCACCATGGCTCTGGTAGAATGACCCCTAGGGGCAACGGGAAGATCTATCTTGGCCAGCTGGTAAGCCAGTTCAATAGTCTGTACTATCCATTTCGATAGTCTCTGGGCAGAGAGAGGTGCACCCTTGTCAGATTCGGAGTATTTGACAAATAGGCGTTTAGTTTTCCTGAAACTCTCTGTGCATGACTGATAGAAAGCTAGACACCAACACACATCAAGGGAATGGAGAGGTATGTGATATTTGATGTTTGTAGTATTAGTTTAAAATTTTAATAAAATTTAAAAAAAAGGAATGGAGAGGTTTCTCTATCGGGGTGGATGGGGACAGGAAGAATGCTGGAAGCACAATGGTTAACATGAACTGTTGTGGCCACCTTAGGGAGAAACGCCAGATCTGTGCGCAGAACTACCTTCTCCTTGTGGAAGTTAAGGTATGGTGGGTCCACACGGAGGGCAGAAAGTTTGCTTGCCCTCCTTGTTGAGGTTATGGCGACCAAGAAGGCTACCTTCCAAGATAGCAATCTTAAATCCGTCATTGTGAGGGGTTCAAAGGGAGCTTTGGTGAGTGCATGGAGAACTACTGATAGACTCCAAGTCGGTACCGAGGGTCGGATTGGAGGATGGAGATTTTGTAGTCCCTTAAGGAAGCACCAGATGAGTGCATGAGAAAACATGGATGAACCCAACAGAGAGCCACGGAAATGGGATACAGCTGTGATGCAGACCTTGATAGAGGTAGGTTTAAGTCCAGACTGATGCAAAGAAAGCAAGAAAGAAAGGATGTTACCGACAGAAGCCAATTCTGGATTAAAACGGTTCGCTTCTGCAAATGTGGTGAAACGTTTCCACTTTGCCTCATACGACCTACAAGTGGATGGTCTAAGGGTGGACTGTAGGATGAATTCGATCTCCTGTAGAGATGATGCAGCTTCGGAGGAGAGTCGAGTGAGGTCCTCCGGTACCGACTGGCACTCTGGTGTCGGAACCGAGGTGTCTTGTCAAAGTCTGTGAGGGTTGGTAGAGGTAGTTAGTGCAGGAGCCACGCAATAAGATTGAGGGTGTTGAGGTCGGGATGAAGAATTGTCCCCCTCCCTTGTGTAATTAGGTGGGGGATGCGTGGCAGACGGAAGAACGTATGTCTTGACAGCCTGAGAGCGGTCGAGAACCAGGGTTGACAGGGCCAACCTGGTGTAATGAAAATGACCCTTGCTCGGTCCCAGGCAGCCTTCTCCAGGATGCGGGTGATCAATGGAATCGGTGGAAAGGCGTACAGGAATGAATCTGACCAACTCACCATCAGGGCGTCCCCTAGTGAGTTCGGACCCGTTCCCGCCCTGGAGCAATACGTCTTGCATTTCAAATTCAAAGCTGTCTCAAATAGGTCTAGTGTTGGGGTACCCCATTAGGTAAACAAGTCTTTGCAAATTTGGTTGTCCAATTCCCACTCGTGGGTTGACGACACCTTTCTGCTCAAGGTATCTGCTTCTTGGTTGTATACTCCCGCTAGATGGATTGCTGTGAGCGAAATCCCTCTGGGAAGACACCAGTCCCAAATCCATACAAATCTGTATGGATAGATGGGCCAATGGTTCCGACTTTGTACCGCCCTGTTTGTTCAGATAAAAAATGGTAACTGTGTTATCGGAGACCTGTACCGATCAGTTCCGTAACGTGGGTTCGAAAGATCGTAGTGCCTTGAAAACTGCTAGCAACTTGAGAAAGCTGATGTGGTTGGACCTCTCGTGTACCTGCCAGGTGCCCTGCGTCCCTAGGTTGGAACAGTGCGCTCTCCAACCCATGAGAGATGCATCGGTATGAAGCGAAATGGAGGGTTGTTGCTGGTGAAATGGAACGTCGACGGTGAGATTGTTGGGGTTCATCCACCATGTCAGAGTCTGTCGAACTGAAGCGGGAGGAAGGAGACGTCGTCTTGGGGAGTTGCAGAGGGGCTGGAACACCGTGTTGAACCACAGCTGGAGTGGTCGCATTCGTAGTCTGGCGTTCGGAACCACTACGATAGTTGATGCCATATGGCCCAGCAGTTTTTGAATAAGCAATGCTCGAACTTGCCCGCTTTTCTGAACCCAACTGGCTACTGAACAAAGTCTGTCCATTCGGGTCTGTGGTAAAAATGCTCATGCTCGGACCGAATTGAGTTGCTCTCCGATGTACTCGATGACCTGTGAAGGAGTGAGACAGGATTTTTCAGTATTAATAACGAGCCCCAAGTCCTCCAGGAGAATGCACATAAGGCGAATGTCTGCAACAAGTTGATCCCGAGACAGGGAAACGATGAGCCAATTGTCTAAATATGGATAAATTTGAACCCCTTGTTGACGAAGGTGAGCACATATCAGAGCCATGCACTTTGTAAATACTCTGGGGGCTGTGGCAAGTCCGAAGGGGAGGACATTATATTCAAAAATGTTGGAGCCAACTGTGAATTGGAGAAACCTCCTATAAAACGGATGGCTACCTATATGGAAATAAGCATCCTTCAGATCAATAGATGCGAACCTATCTTCTCTCTCTAGCAGGAGGAGGATATTTTGTAAGGTGGACATACGGAATTTCTTAGTTGTAATAAAAGCATTGACGCCCCTTAGATCGAGTATGGGGTGTAAGCCACCATCCCTCTTCGGTACTGTAAAATATCTAGAGTAGAAACCACAGGGTCCATCGGAATGGGAGAGTTGGCAGATTGCTCCCTTATGAAGTAGCTGGGATAGTTCTTCTCTAAGAATTTCCGATGAGGCGGTGTATAGCACCGGACCCGAAGGGGGGATGACATCAAACTCGATTCTATATCCAAATTCAATTATGGAAAGGGCCCATTTGTCAGATGTGATGGTCTCCCATAGAGGGAGTTGGCTTTGCAGTCGGCCCCCAAAGGGAGGGGGGAGGGGTGTAGGAGAGAGAGGATCTGTTCACAGAACCTGTCAATGTTGCCTCTTATCAGCGGGTTGGTGGCGGCAACCCTGTTGATATTGGGCGGCCGGTTGCATGCGATTTCGTTGTTGCCGCTGGGGGAATTGTTGGCATGGCTGGAAACGGTGATAAGGTTGGTATCTTGGGTATTGAGATTGATGCCACTTACGACGGCCGGAGTCTGGAATCTCCATCTTCCTGGCGGTGGCCCAAGCATTATAAATATGCTCAAGCTTGTGGTCCATCCTATCGTGGAAGAGGCCCGATCCATCGAATGGCATCCTCTCGATCCATCTCTTGGTCTCCTCTGGGAAGTTGCATGAGCGTAACCAGGCATGCCTTTGGAGAGCGACAGAGCCAACTAGGGCGCAGGAATCGCAGTCGACATGATGGCGGGCTGTTGTGAGCTGTTGGATCGCAAGCTGCATTGCCTCCCTTATGAAGTCCCGGGCTAGATCATGTTGTTGTTCTGGGATGGACAAGGTGATCGAATCCAACCGCTGCATCAGAAAATACTGATACCTCGCCATCGTCGCCTCATAGTTGGAGATTCTCAAGCCCAATCCCATAGCCGCATAAATGCGCCTCGCCATAAGGTCGATTTTTCTTCCTTCCTTGTCCCTAGGGGCCGAGTGCTCTCTGTTGTCTCGCCCCTAAGAGGACTCGACCACGACAGAGTTGGGCTTCGAGTGTTTTAGAAGGAAGGGAATATCTTGTTCCTTGACTTTGTACATGGATTCGTATCTTCGCGATGTCGACTGAGGTTGATCAGGAAAGGTCCATGTATCCTCCATGGCTTCCCGCAGGGTTGTAATCAACGGGATGGTAATGGTAGAAGATTGTTCTTTATGGACAATATCATAAAAATTGTCCTTGTTAGCGCTGGGCTGATGCTCAACCTCAATCTCCAACACTCTGGTTAAGTGCCCCATAAGTTCACTGAAGGTAGCATAGGACTCTTCGGGCGACCCAGGTCCCTGGGTGGATATGACTGCCACAGGGGACGTAGAGCAGTCGTCTGAGTCCTCAGAGTCTGAATTGTATGGGTATGGAGGACTGGAGGAAGACTGAGCCGGAGAAGGAGGATGGTGAGAAGTCGTCAGCGCCGAAGTAGAGGGAGCTTCAGCCCTTGCCTGTCGGGATCAATGACCGTATTCCCTCGGCATGTAGTAGCCGTATGGGGTGGTCCCCAATACTGAGGTTGTGAAGCCTCCAGCCCTTCGTAAGGCATCGGGACCCATGATCTGGCAGATTGTCCTGATGAACAGCGATGCTGGTGGGATTCGACCACCATGGTCCTCCTGGGAGTCTCCGAAGAGGATGGCATTGGAGTTGGGGAACGAGCTGGTTGATGGCACAGCAAAGATCTTGGGAGAGAGTCATGGATCTTTTCATCTGACAACGACCCATGAACGACCGCTTTGGGTGGATGTAACATGGTTCAACCCTCGGTGGGGATCCGGGTGGCGTGACCTGCATCAGCTCTCTCGGTGTCGGTGCCAAGGGTGTCAGAACTGATGGTGCCGTCTGGACCGAAAGGGTGGTCAAATCCGAATCTCTCCGTGATTCCAGAGCAGGCCTATGTTTCCTGCTGGCCTAGCCCGACTTATCTTTTTTGGCCTTCTTCAGGGCCAACGGATCCCCGTGGTCGGAATGCTTCCGCCTCTCCTTTTGTTTGAGCAAGGAATGGGAGGAGCGAGAGGTCTCCTTGGAAGCAACTCCCCTGGATAGTGGACGAGGGAAGGTCACCATGGAAGGGCCGGCTGGCATAGGCTGAGCGGCGAGCTCGTCAGAGGCTGGTAAGGCCTGATCCCAAAGGATCTTCCTCAGCCTATTCTCTCGGTTCTTCCTGGCCTGTTTGGTGAAGGCTTGGCAGTGCCCGCAATTGTTAGTGCGATGCCCCTCTCCCAGGCAGAGGAGGCAGAGCTCGTGTGGGTCCGCTGGGGACATTTTAGCCCCGCATTTCAAACACTTTCGAAACGCCGCACGCTGAGCCATCGAGAAGATCAGAAGAGGGATAGTAAAGGTAAGAGAAAAAGAGTGGAAATACTTATATAAAGGTAAGAGGAAAGGATTAACTGGGAAACAAGGGAAAAGAACTTGGACTCAACGGGTAAGAACGATTCTAGAACAAACAGGTAAGTACAAGAAGACAAGGTAATGGCGCGAGGCAATGCGATCGGCGGTCGAAGGAAGACTGAGGAAAATGGCGGGCGCTCTGCCTTATATAGCACCAGGGGGGAGGGGTGCGGAGTTCCTGCCAAAAACCGTTGTAGCTTGGGTATTCTGGCCGACAACAGGCACTGCGCAGGCGCAGTACCCATTATGTGTGACTGCACAGAGACTATTTATTTTTAAGTTAGCAAAATACCTGTCATTGCGACAGACAGATGGGGCATGCATAGCAGGGCAGGGGTAGGAACAGGACTGATCTAAGTCCTCTTGAATGGAGAGACAGACCATCCCTGCAAACTGTGTCCTGCAGAGATCTTGTAGACCGGTGTCCATGTGGGTGGGCAGTGTAATGCAATAACAGAGCCCCCCTTCATCCCTGTCCCTAAGGGTCGGGCCACCCCTGCCGGGGGGGCACATTTCCCCCTCTCTTCAAACCTCTAAATACAGCGGGATCAGATTATCACTCTTGTGCTCAGATTTTAAAAGACATTTTTCACATATGTTGACGACTGCAAGGGTCAAAACCTCCATTTGCAACACAGAGCAAATCAGAGCACTTAGACACTGCATTTTATCTTTCCATACATTGGTTTATGAAGGTTATTACTTCCTTATTCCGACATAGCATGCATTCCTCCACTGCTAGCTGCAAAGCCTCTGAGCTGGATGTTTATACTGAGTGTCAGCATGATTTAACAGATTACCTGGATAATGTTTCCCCAACTGATCCAGCAAGGTTTCCTGTGTAACCGTAATATGAGCTGCATTCATATCTGATATAGCACAGCATAGGACTTCTGCCAGTGGAACAAACTGGGACTGTAAAATGGGATTCATGTGCACTGGAAATACATCACCTAGAAGCAATATAGAGGGGAGAAGAGAAGGGGAAGAAGAATGAGCTTTCTTTCCTTTTGAATATGTTGTCCTTTTTCTCAGTTGCTTTTTCAAACTATCTTCTTTAAATTAGCCTGAAAGAGGTTAGAATAGTGGTTCTAATAAAGTAACTTCAGCAGTAAACGCAAATGCACAAATAGAAAAGCAAGCAGATTTTTGTTCAATAGCCTTGAAAAAATGCTATTGACTTGAGCTCTGCTGGGTAATTGTGCCAGTTATTATTTTGAAACAGCAAGGATGCTGTAATCACATCCTACTCTACTAGAGGAGGAAGAGATTGTAATTTGTATTTTTATTTCACTTCCAAATGCTGAGTGAACTGCAGTGGCTAGCTGAAGTGTGGGCAATCACAAATTGGTGGGGGGGGGGGACCGCTTTGAGATTCTTCAAAGAGAGGTCCCACACCTTTTGTCCCCAAATACTGACATGAGCTCTTGCTTCCACCCAAAATGGACAGGGACCGAGGACTGTGTATTGGTACCAGGAAAACATCAGTAGCAGAGAGCCACGCACTACAGTAACCAAGTTCTAAGGCTCATGGGAGCCTCAGGTAGGGAAACTGGGTTCAGACTTTCACAAAGGGGAGACAACTCTCTCTAAACTTAGATTCTAAAACATACCTAGACATATACATATACGCACATATTGGTCCCTACTTGTGAACAAAGGTTTTTGGATTGCATTTTCCCCTGCTCATTCCCAAGAAATCCACTGTACCACTGTTTCTGGTTTAAAATCTGGCATACGCAGACACTGCAAATGTTGCTTTTATTAAAAATGTACTGTTACTATCTCTGAAAGATAACCACTGAAACTTTGTCCTGCATCAGAAATCCTAATATGTAGGTTTAAATTCCAAACCAGTTTTATTTCAGTGAAAATAGATTTTAAAATTCTTATTTAATATATTACATACATTAGAGTAGAAAGCAAGACCTGTTGAAGTTATTTTTCTTGCCAACCAAATAAACAACAGCCCCTTTTGAAGAAGCTGTTAAATAGTTCTTAACCTCTATTTTACAAGTGGTAATGCCTATGCTTAACAAAATGTATTCAGAGAATTTCCTAAGAATAATTTCCTCAGTGAGGCTGCTGAGCTATTGCCAGCAGGTGTATAAATCATTGTCAGTTCGCTTTGTGTCAAACAGGAGAATTCAGGGAAAAACCTGTTGACTAGTGCATAATGTGGGTTGTCAGCACAATTCCTTGCAAAACACAGCTTGAATAGGTGTTCTTTTCTATTTTACATTTGCCAGTATTATAAAAATTTATTTTCCAGGAAAAGAAAAGTTGCTAAACAAAAGCTAGAGCAGCATCAAAATGTATAATGGATTAACTCACACACATGCTTCATTAATGCAAATCTCATACCCTTATTTTCAGTTTGAAAACATAGCATGATTGTATGCCAGAATTATTTGTTGTTGTTGTTGTTAGTTGCGAAGTCATGTCCGACCCATCGCGACTCCATGGACAACATTCCTCCAGGCCTCCCTGTCCTCCACCATCCCCCGGAGTCCACTCAAGCTCACACCAACTGCTTCAGTGACTCCATCCAGCCACCTCATCCTCTGCCCTCCCCTTCTTCTTTTGCCATCTATTGTTCCCAGCATTAGGCTCTTCTCCAGGGAGTCCTTCCTTCTCATTAGGTGGCCAAAGTATTTGAGTTTCATCTTCAGTATCTGGCCTTCTAAAGAGCAGTCAGGGTTGATCTCCCCTAGGACTGACTGGTTTGATCACCTTGCCGTCCAAGGGACTCGCAGGAGTCTCCTCCAGCACCACAGTTCAAAGGCCTCAATCCTTCCTTATGGCCCAGCTTTCACAGCCATACATTGCAACTGGGAAAACCATAGCCTTGACTATACGCACTTTTGTTGGCAGGGTGATGTCAACAAGAGCCTAATGCTGGGAACAATTGAGGACAAAAGAAGAAGGGGACAGCAGAGGATGAGGTAGCTAGATGGAGTCACTGAAACAATCAGTGGGAGCTTAGGTTGACTCAGGGGAATGGTGGAGGATAAGAGAGCCTGGAGGAATATTGTCCATGGGGTTGTGATGGGTTGGCACATGGGTTGTGAATAATAACATAACATAAATTAACATAGAGAAGCTCATAATACATTGAAATAGGTTCAGGAATACAAAGGGAAGCTTCTATTCGCAGCAATCTACCCGGAAGCTGTGGATGATATCCAATTACATTATTGTTCTACTAGTGGTTGCACCAGAGTTATCAGAAAAAGTAGCACAAGCAACAACTAGCTTAATAAACTGATGGAATAGCATATCAAAGTATTGGTTTTTAACATGTGCAAGGATGAAAATGAGATTTCTACAGGCATTAGAAAGTTCTGCACTAGCAGAATGACAACACTGGATACAATCCAACAGAAATCATTCCCATTAATCTTTAAAAAACAAACTGGCCTTCCAGCATAAGGCTTTGCTATAGTCCCATAAGCCAATCTGGATTACCAAAGTGAAAGGCTGAATACAAGGACTGAGTATATCTTTGCCAAGGATTAGCATGCGGAAAAACAGAGACTGATTGCAAGCCTCTGAAAACTTTGATCTGGACACAAAAATGCAACCCAATCTGGCCCTCTGGGATTTCCCAGAAGGTTATGCTCCTTTCCTCTGGCCCCAATCCCATTCCCTCTACTATTGTTCATAGAATCATAGAAAAGTTGAGTTGGAAGGGGGCAATAAAGTGATCAATCACCACTTTTGTGCAGCTTCTCCCCAGTCTGAAAGGCTGGAATGCATCTCCTAAGCCTTTGCTTTGGAAGTATAAGCTTTAAGCTAAAATATGTCTTTGTGTGTGTGTGTGTGAGAGGGGGGGGTGCACCTTTTTCAACCTTGCCATAAATCCCCTTTTCCCACCACAACAGGAAGGGAAGGGCAGCAGAAGGCAAATGGGGGCGGGATGGGTGGGTGGGTGAGGATTAGGACTTACAAATACCATTGGTAAACACTAGACATATGCAAGCTTAGACTAAAAACAAACATACAGTTTTACATACACCACCCTCCCTACTTTACAACAGAATAGAACAATACTATAGTTTCAAAGCTGTTTGGAAGGGCATTTGATTTTCTGCTTTAAAATCCGGCCCTCAAAAAGCAGAGTTGCTGGGGGTCGGGCACAGTCATGTTTCTGTTCCTGTCAAGCCACATCCAAGAACCAAAGAACTGTACTGGTTTACACTATGCTTTCTAAAGGATGGAACAGTACTAGGTTTTGTTTGCTTTTTACTGAGGAAGTAGTTCCACTCATCTGATTTGGTGTCCTAAAGAAGAAGAAGAAAACAAGTTCACCATAGTACACATTTGGGCCTGTAATCCTTTCCTGACATCAAAACTTCTATAGGTTTGACAGCCTACTGTAGAAACCTGTACTACATATTAATTACTGGGGTGGATCCACGTTTATGCTGATTCGACTGTGCTGAAAGAAGTGGACTTCTCTTCCCCCTTCCTCCCCACAGCAGCCATTCCAACCCTTTGGAATTCAGGAGAACTCGCTGAATCGGTTGAGCTAAGATGGGGTTGGGGGGAAGATCCCCCAAAATCAGGCAGAGGGACCTTCCATGAGAAGATTCTGGATCCAGCCCATAAGCTGCTTGCCAAAAATACTTCCCCGCAATAGTATAACTTTCTATTTTGCAGAGCAGAAATGAGGCACCCCTTCTGGCATGACACTTTTTATAAACTATCTGAAAAGCTTACCCAGAATATTTGTTTTGGCCTAGAGAGAAGAAACATAAAGCAAATGCTAGTTCTATTGATTGCTGAAATACAGCATAGCTTCCCTAATGGGTAAGATCATTCTGTGGGGAGTGGTGAAAGATTTGTTTACCAAACTCTAGCCTAGACAACCTGCCAAAAAAACTCATATATTATTGACCTTCTAATGATCTTACCAGCCTACTCAAACAGCTAATTGTTTACATATGAGAAACCTGAGAACACATTTTCAGAGCATATAGGACAACAAAATGTGGGAAAGTTATCTGCAGTACAAAAGTCAGATAACAAAACATGGAGAACAAAAACTCTCCAGATACGCTTCACTAACATAAAAGGATGTTTTGTTCTGTCCCTGGTTACTTGAGCTTTGCCGGATTAATAGAGCCTTTGCTGAACAGGTAGCACATTTCATTTTTCTTTTGACATGCAAATTCAGATGTAATGCAAAACTCTGTTACTATCCACAAATTTGCTGCACTGTGCAACCAACTCCCTTTAACTATTAAATATACTTCACTGCTCACATTACTGATTATATTTAGCAGAGCTAATATTAAAGGTAGGCATGGTCAGGTACATGCTGAAGGCTTATATCTAGGAGGGGCTAACTTACAAGAGACTCATGTTTGAAGGCCTACTGACCACTGCAACCTCCTTGTTCACCCTTTATCAGGTGTTGGTGAGAAGCAGCATTTGCCACTGCCCACTTGCTTACCACCTGTCCAGCAAACAAGTGGTAGAAACAATGAGAAAGAGATAGATAATGAAAAGCAATAGCTGCTGGTGACAATGGCAGTGAGAAAATGGTGGTGGGAATGGGCCCAGTGAGGATGGCTTGCCCAAAGGGCCTTCCATTGGCCTTGATACTGGAGCCAAAATGACAGGAGACGTGGGAGAAGATTGCGATGGGATCTCATGACAGCAGATGTGGGAACTGGGATGACAGGCTCCTAATTCCAAATACTAAGCTATAGAAATGCCAAAGATGTTCTTGCCAAGGGCAGTACTGAGTGGCAACGGTAAGTCTGTATTAGCAATAAAAGAGAGATCTTCCATGCCATCAGTTTGAGAATTAGGTCTGGGTGTCGAATTTGATCTCAGTCTCAAAGAAGCACCTTTGGTACCAAGGGGAGAGCCATATATTTGCCACTGGATAGGTTGTGAAGCTTAATAAATTGTAACTGATGGAGCCACCATGGAGTGATACCAT